CTTCATCACTTTCCTTTAGTGGTTGTGGAGATACAAAATCACCTGAACGGAAGCGCTCCAATTCGACAGCAACTTGTCTCATTGTTGACATTTTGGTGCCTTTCACTCTCAGGCACCTCCTAGCATCTAGGCATCAATCACATCAGCTAATCTACTCTCTTTAACAGCGCGAGCAAAATCCCTCGCTAAGCAACAGTTTTGATGAGTAACTGCTCTCCTGTGATTAGCTCAACCAAGACAACACCAAACCTATAAACATCATATGTTAATGTGTGTGTATTAATGCCATTAGTTTTGATATTTTGATCAAAATATATACAAATGTTACTTAATATCTACAAACGTACAAAAATGATATGTATTATGCATAAATATAATAAATTTGAATACTAAGTATCAAGCATATGTTAATGCCATTAGTTTTGAAAATGATCAAAACATATACAAATGTTACTTATTTCAATATATTTTAAGTGTAAATATCTCATTATATCTTAAAACTTTATGCTTTTCGTTAAGCTTTATAAAATGATCAAAACATTAAGCCTTTACATTTTTTTTGCTTAAATTTATTTTGTGTTTTGCTTGAAAAACAAATTATTCTAATTTTATTTAAATTAGAAAAAACTGTTAAAATCGAAGTAGAAAAAATACATGATCTATATGTTTTGTTACTAAACAAAAATAAACCATGATTTGCTTATATGATTTATCATAATCAACTAATGTTTTGCTTACGTTATATATATGTAATGACATTATCTTATCAATTGTTATTAATTTTGACTGATTATGCATCATCAAAGCTACAATTAAATTAATAAACATAGATTAAAACATTTTTAATCTCAAATAGTCTTTAATGTTAATAAAATTGATTTGCTTTGGTGGATATTATAGATGGAGAGAGAATTACCTAATTATATATATGATTATAACACATAAACCAAATGACTAGGACAATTCTCTTCCAAACCGGTAAAATCGTGAAATAATCCGACCCGATAACGATTCACCGGTTATTGGTGGGTTTGTTTGGATTATCAATCTAAAGACATAGATTAAATTATTTTCAACATGGGTCGGTCTTGAAATTTTGGGGGTCCTAAGCAAAAAAAATTCGGAGTCTTTAGATAAATATTTTAAAAATGAAAACAAATGTCAAGATTTAAAAATAAGGGTCTATTTTGCAAAGAAAAAAATCATGGACCTTTTTATATTGAAATCAGAAAAATTTGGGACCCAGAGCCCATGCTTCACTTTTCTTAGCCCATAGCTGGCCTTGCTTCGAACCCAAACTGGATAAGCCTATAATTGTAGTCTTTATTTTAATCAAATAAATTTGGTCCTCAACAACCTCGTTTGAAATTGTAAAATAACTTTTCATAAGAAATTATCAGTTTGAAATTGTAAAATATTTTCTAAAACGCGTTTTTAATGAGCACAACAACCCTGTTTTTTCTCTCTATTTTGCTGTGTTTTTTCTTAAATCAGTACTGGTTGTGTGTTTAATAGACTCGAGGACTTGTGTTCAATAGCCAACCAAGATCACTCATTTAGAGTTAGACCATTTTTACAATCTTAAGCTTCAAGGTTTCTATTTTGAATGTTTTAAAGTGTAAATGTTTGTGTTAATGTCCTTATGAAAAGAGCACAATTACGTGGTTCTATTATTTCACATGTAAGTCAGATAGATTCGGAATAGTTTGCTATGTGGAACAATCATTATATTGTTTACACTTGATTTAATCTATAAAACTCGTTGATAACAATAAAATCATAAAATAATTGACCTTAAATTGAGTGAACCATATAATTGCAAACTCATTGTTTTTATGATGAACGAAAAGTTATTGAACTATTGTATTAGCAACCGTGGACA